GTTGCTTTGTAGCCTTTGTTGGTTACATCCAACATATGGACCCTCTCACCACACACATACCTTCTTTTCTTGTTACAAATGTATTTACTTGATTTTGTTTTGCTTTACATTTTGTATTTTTGTAAATGTGGTGGTTGTGGAATTTTAGGATATTTTAGGCAAGATGTGGTAGCTTTGTGGGATACCAATTCCCCATCCTCTGAGGTTTGTTTATTGCTTATTTATTTGTCCCATGTCTCAACCAGTCGGTTTTACTGACATCTGTTCCTAAATGTGCAGACGTCATTGTCCCGACTCACAGGCACAGACCTGGCAGTGCAGTGCCCTCTGGGTGAAAGGGGGTTTGCAGGGCTGCCTCTGTCACTCGCTCTTCTGCAGGCTGCATCTTCTTCTGGAATCACGCTCAGGGTGGGAATTTGTCTGTTGATGCTTCCTCTGTTGTTTTTGAGAAGCCCAGGCCTTCTCATAAGCAAGTGTTTAGAGTGTGTTCTGACTGTAGAAAGGTTCTTAGTTTCCTCCCCTGCTATTTCTGCTAAACCCGCAGCTTTGTGGTTTACCTTGTTTCTCTTTTGAACCTCAGTTTTTTCTTCCTTGCTTGCCACCAGAATCCCCATTGTTTTTGAGAGCACCTTTAGACTTAAACATCTCTATACTCTTTTCCACATAAAGCCAGGTCCTTAGCTGAGGAAGTCTCATCTTCTGGATCCTTTCTCCCCTCTCTGTTCTTAGGGAAAGAATTCAGAATCCCCACTGCAGAGCTTAGGTCTCAGGACAGTGGTCAGTTCTTTCTGAGCGCTGCTCTTGCTTATTAGCTGGATAGGGATGGTGGCTTCTGGTCTTCTGCACTGTCCAGCTCTACAGGTGATGGGGGGTCGGGGCACTCAGATCCCCTTATTCATGACCTGTTGTGCCTGGTAGAGGGCTTTTTCCTGTGGCTGAGATGGTGCTGAGGACGAAGGCACTGTGTCTCTTAGCCACATTGCTGAGAACTTAGCTTCTGTACCTTGGAGCTCAAAGGGATGGATGTCATGGTTTGCCTGTCCTTGTTTCCTCCGGCTGTTGATGGGAAGGGGACCCCACTCTTTTGACCACACTCCATTGGAATGGAGCTTCTTTATTGGAGGTTGGTAAGTAAGGAGAGAGGCTTGTAGCTGAAGGGCCTTACCTTTTCCTCTTGACATTTAATAGATTTTCTTGTATAAATATTTCCTAATGTTTTGCTTGGTCTTAAGATAATTTCCAGAAGCTTTAAAGGGTTGTTGATGGTGCTAAAGTATTTTGTATCAGTTTGCTTTACTTAGGATGCATTTCACAGAACTCCTCATTTTGCTATTCTGGAAGTGACAGTCTGGCTTGGGCTCTTCACATTCACCTAAGTTAAAGTGAATCATGACAATCATATAAATTAAGAAAGGAGCACCTCATAAAAAAGACAGACTCTTTAGGTCTGAATTTCCAACCAGTCAGACTCAGCCAGAGCTTTCTGCTCCAACTAAATTCTATTGAAAAGTTTAAAAACTTAGCAAGGTACTTTTGACTAAGCAGCCTTAGGATATTCCAAAGTCTATTTTTCTTTCTTCTGGTAATGTGGAGTTTACATTTAAAATTTCTGCCTCCAGTTTAAAATCCTTATTTCAAGATGATCTTGTAGTCTCCTTCTTAATTTACATGATAGCTTGAGGCTATTGATTCTTTAAGCCAGAAATTTAAATGTATTCATTGAGTTCAGTTTATCAGAATGTGTTGAATTCCAACCTGAGCCAGACAGCAACCTCGATCTTGGTGCAGTGGGAGAATCCTAATAAAGATCATATGATTTGGAGTCTTGAGGAACCGTGAATTTGGGACTCAGATAGCTAAGAGTACACAATTAAATTCTACTTTCCAGGCATGTGGTGAGTATTGAGATTCTCTCTGGCAGTCCTGTCTCCAGCAGAGTCATTAGGATAGTCAGAGTTGGTAGCTTTTACTAGTCCATCATGTGATTTCTTCAGCCCCTTAGTGAAATCTTCCATAAAAGGTACCTTGCCCAAATTAAGGGCTGCTTCACTTCTCAGGGCATCACATTATATCTGTTGTGGGAAGTGCTCTTTCTTGTTCTTCTACAGTGATGGTGTAACTGTTTCTCAATGTTTCATTGCACAGCAATCAGCTCTATTAGTCTTGGGTTCTTCTATATGAGAGGTGAACGAGGTTGCCCAGGAGAGCAGACATCAATGAGTGTGTATTAAAATCACCATTACAAAACTGACATAAGTATTGGACCCATATTCTCTGACTGCAGCCTTCAAGTTAGTATAATTTGTGAACATCTCTGTTTTTTTCCCATCTTCTTGTCTGTCTAAACCAGTATTCTCTCCTTTCCCTGCCTCATCTTTTGTCTTTTCTGTCAGGTAGATGATTAACCTCACAAACAAACCTTCTACACCAATTGTTCAGTACACACTGGAAAGAGCCTATGTAGACAGCGTTGTGCTGAGTGCTGGATTCTAGGTATCAGTGAGCTAATTTTCTTGACTGTAGAAAAAGTTTATAGTCTCATATGCAATTCAGCAAATGTAATAATGCCTAGTGTTCTAGAAAAGAGGGATGTGCAGGATGTAGAGGACTCAGACACTGTGTTTCACTTTTGTAAGACAGTAGAAGTTGAAAGAAGGTTTGTCTCCAAGAAGTGGTAATTAACTGACCCATGACTACAGATTGAGACAAGACTGGCTAAGGCAAGAAGTGAAAGGTATACATTCTAGCCATGAAGAAAATCCACACAAACTGGACCCACTTACCCTACTGCTCTTTCTACTTTACAGTTGGAGTCCAATAAGAGGGCATTTCTTGGATCATCATATGTCCTCATTTTATGTGTGTCCTTTCCAGTTCTCCTGGGCCGGCCTTCTGATAAAGAGTAGAGCAGCATTTTCTAACACAACATTTAACATACATAGAAGGACTTTAAAGTGTTAAAGTGTGTAGAATGAATGAGTGATATAAATCCTTTGATCCTTATGCAGTTTGACAGCAATTGTTGGTCCTGGAAGGTAGTCCGGAGTATTCTTGTGCTGTTAGTTACAGCAGTATACAGTGCTGCCAACCTCGTGTCTTGGTTTCCTTTTTTCATTAGGCAGGAGAAAGACTAAGCTTGGCTAGGACTTTCTCTGGAAGGGGCAAAAGAGAAGTTCAACTCTGGCTTATGGTTTGCTGTGCTGAATTTAAAAATTACATACTTTGACCTGTGTCATGCATATGCAGTGAAAATTAGGATAGTTCGAGCAACCACTTTGGTCTTAGCAAGCTTCTTTATTTAAAAAAATGTAGGATTAATAAATACCCACTAACATGTAGTGGGAGAGTACCAGATTTGGTATTTCATTCTTCTGAGCTATATACTCCTCATTTAAAGGACTGGAATCTTTCAACAACTTTGTCGCTTGCCTTTTTCTGACCCTGTGGGATCATGCCCTCCAAAAGATTCTGCACCATCTTCAAGGCTTGGTTGGAGAGGTGGATGAGGAGACAGGAGGCCAACCCTCCCCCTGCTGCTTGGGTGTTTCCATAGTGTATCACACAAAAGTGTAATGCTGTGTGTACCTTTTGTTTTTAACAGAGGGCAAAACTTCCAGCACCTTGGCTGTACATCCTCAGTGAGGGTATCCAGAATCCATCTAACCTCAGTGCCTACACATTCGTTCTCCGTGGTCAGTTTCCTCTTGCTGACCATTTCACCACCGCACCCTCAATATTCCCAGTGGGTGTCTGTTCTTCTCTACCTCTGAGTTATGTGTAACTTGCTGGGACACACACACACACACACACACACACACACACACACATATACAGCTTTCTACCCAAGGCCTAGAAGCTCATTATTGGGATTATTACAGAGTCATGCCTTCAGGAAGAAGGGGTTCATTTTCTAGCTACCACAAAATTTGCAAGGCAACACTTTCTCCAGCAGTCTGCCCATCTTATTATTATGCAAAAAGCATATATAATTCTCTTGCTCCAGCCTCTGCCCACCATCCTCCTCCTCCCATTCAATTTTAAATTGCATTCTCTAGGCCCTCTGGGAATCAGAGAGGGGCTACTGTGGGGCCATATCCTGCTCCAAGGCTGCTCTTTAACAATGCAATGCTTTTCTATTGCAGTTCCATTAAGGAATAGATTAACTCCTTATCTGAGAGTCCGCTTTACCCTCAATTTCCAACTAGGCAGGAGAGGAGGCCATGGATTAATCTTCCCTTGCATAAGTGTAGGTAATTGATGACCCATGTGGCACAATAGCCAGGCCACAGTCTGACAGAGGATTTATTTTTTTTCTGAGTCATGATTCGTTTTCATTAAGTCTTAACAAAGGAAAAAAGTCAGACTGGATCTTACATTATGTGCAGCATTTAAAGAATCACCTTTCCTGAAGAAAAGGAAAAATTGCACAAATTCTAGAAAACCCAGCCAGCATGGTCAACATTGCTATATAATATACAGTCGAGCTAATTATGAAAAATGTTCAAGTCTTTAAAGAAATCTAAAGAAAAAAGTCTTTAATATCACAGCCATGTATCCTGGTGAGGCTAAAATTGGGTAAAGGCAAAGCTGAATGCCAAATGATAATTTCTGCTAAATAATTCAGGCCATGTGAACTCTGATATTTTACTTACTTTAATGAGTATAATGGGTGCAATTACAGGCTGCTTTTCCTCCTGGTGCCAGACACAATGTGCCCTTGCCTAATTGTGGGCTCCATTTTTCTTTAGGTAACCCATTTCTGTAAAATTTCTCTGTAATCCCAATATCACATGTTAGTAGCCACTAAAATATGTGTGTTGAAATCAGGTTGTGAGTAAGTTTCAGTGATGATTACTGTGAAGAAGAGATTGCTGAACGAACGAGAGGCTTTTCCATGAGCCCATCTGTGATAAACTCACTCCCAGCATGGTGGTGTAGGAAAGGAAAATGGAGGGAGTAGGACGTCTCTGATGCTGTTTCCTCTCCTTCTTCTGGCACAGGGAAGCGATGCTGACATGGTGGATAAGAACAAGTGCTGCACGCTCTGTAACATGTCTTTTACCTCAGCGGTGGTGGCTGACTCGCATTACCAAGGCAAAATCCACGCCAAAAGGTTAAAACTGTTGCTAGGAGAGAAAACGCCGTTAAAGACCACAGGTATGTGTGTGACAGCAATCCCAGGGAGACACCGAATACCAAACACTGCGCCTGTCAGATGGCCCACGCGTGCTCTGGAGAAGCAGCTGCCAGCAGCAGGGTGTAAATGGCAGGTGTCATTCAAAATCCCGAGGACTGATGTGTGGCCCCAGCGCACCTTGCTGTCATAGACCTCTGAATACGTTTTCAGGAGCTCATTGTATCAAATGTTCAGCTTAGCAGTGCAGCAGCTTTCATCTCCTGAAAAGCTGTTTACATTCTGCAAGATGCTGTCTCTCCCATCTATTATAAGTTATGTAAGATATTGTATCTATTATGTTCTTCCCTAGATCCAGGCTGTAATCAGCGTGGATAATGGATGGTGTACAGTGTATAATTGGTAGGTCCTATACCAAAACTGTGTAATGAAGATATCATCTTGTTTGTACCTTGGGGAGAAGGGAGGAGAGAGGAAAACCACTTTGGTTTGGGGACAACCAAATTTTTATGGCATTTCTATCATCTGTGCCCGGGATCCTGTGACTCAAACCCCTTCATTTTCACAAGTAAAAATTGTAGTACCAGGTTACTTGAAGGTCTCATTGCTTAACTAAAGTGTTCCTCAGAGGTCTGTCCAATCATGAAACCAAGATTTTATTTAATTTCATAAAGATAGACTATTTGGACAAGATTTACACTGTGGTGAAGATCTTGCAAGATGGGGTGCTAATATAAAGAGGTTGGGAGTATTTCTCATCATGTCTACTTTTCCAGTGCAATTAAAATTTGGCACTGCATTTTATCTTGCTGTCTAATGAATCGTGCATAAATCGTGGGTGTAATTATTTTTTAAATGGTATTTTGGAAGTTAGAGAGAGTCTGAAACAATGCTTGGCTTTTATCTTCACCAGTGTTTTTCTTGCGAGCATGTCTTCTTTTACCTAGAGAATAGGAAGGAATATTTTCACTATATTTTTCTACTTAGTCGAACTAAAGAGCATTGTTTATATAAAGGTGGCTGTGACATTCAGGCACGGAATGGGGTTGTAAAACACATGAATTCTGGAGACAAGCTCAGCATGTTTTGGAGCACATGGAGTAGTTTGGCATTTGATGAGCAACTGCTGGGTTGTGACTCCTGATTCCTTCTCTCTGAAAGATTGGACAGTCACCTTGTAACCTATTCTTCATCAAATTTCTTAAAATAGATACCTCAAAGAAACAGTCAGCGGAAAACTTTTACCTGTGTTCCGTGAATGAGTAACCAGCTCATTTTTTCTCTCTGCCTAAGCAGAGTACTTCTGTTAAATTTAATTCTGGAGGTAGTGATGGAAGACAAAAGGCTCCATCTTTGTTTATTACATTGATTACCAAATGGGAGAGCTATCATTTCTGTAAAAAATTACCACATGACAAAGATAGTTCTTTGGGAATTTAAATACATCCTCAAAACATCCAAACACCAGATTGTTTCCCGGAATTCAAATATCCTCATTCAAATATCCTCCTTTATGTACCATAGCTGGTACATAAAACTCAGGGGTAATTTACTAGTTGTCATCAACATGTTCCAAGGAAAAAGCAAAAGCACATAAAGGGCAGCCTTTACTCCATGGCTTAGTCTTGGTTGGCCCTACTGTTGTAGATAGCAGGGTACTGATTAGACAAGAAAGGAATGGAATGGGGGAGAGAGTTGTACCAATAGCTCAAGTTGGGAAATCACACTCTAGTTGTAGTGGACCAGAACACCCCCGTTTTCCACCCCTTTCCCACTTCCCTTCCCAGGAGTTCTTCATCCATTTCCCTCTGAAGTGCCTTTGAGCAGACACGGTCTTAGAAAGTGATCTCCCAGGTGGAACTGGGGAGTCTGGGAAGCTAACCTGGTTCCCAGGCTTGGGTTGGAGTCCATGTAGTACCTGGTGCACAGCACAGCAAGCAGTGCACTTGCTGGAGGGTGGAGAGCCACCTGGTAGGAGGGTGAGCAGAGAGAGGCAGTGTGAGGAGCCGAGGTTTGAAGGTGATGGGAAGGTCGAGCCCAGCAGAGAAGTGTGTGCGTGCAGAGAACTTGCAGATGATCAAGCGGGAAAGTCTGGCTGGTGGGGCAGAGCCCCAAATGAAGTCTTGGGATTCTGGAGAAAGGGAAGGCTGTTTTCATAGGTACAGCAGGACACCATCACTGAAGAGCAGGATACTGTGCTGGAAACTAAGAGAGGGAGCAAATTAGGAAGCTGGTTCCCAGGCTTAGGGTATAGGTTGAGGCCTAGTCTCAATTTGTCTATTGCAGGAACAGAACGAAGACCAAGAGGGGCTAGAAAAGAATACACAAGCAACAGCCTTCCTCCAGTGCCTTGGCCAAGTTGGTATCACTGTCTTTCCTTGCTGTCTGCAGCAGGCCCAGCAGCACCTACTGCAGGCCTTCCTCTCCCTGGCTGAGGCTGCACTAGCATATGCAGCAAGTGCTTGGCCTAATCAGTCAGGTCAGCTGGAAAGTAAGTGCATCTATATAAAAACAAAAGAAAGAAAGAAAAAGAATACACAAAACCCAAGGAACTGAATAAAATGCCAGAGAGAAGCAGCTCCAGGGCAGGGATGCTGCTTCAGCAGGTATCCAAGAGAAACAGGCTCTTGAGATTTCTGTGTGGGAATGACTGAAGCCTCTAGCTGCTCCACCCGGTGAGATGAGTGACTGGGCCAGAGGCATGACCTCTGGCCCACATCCAGCTGCACTTTGATGAAGCACCAGCTGAGTACCCTAAAGCCCTGCCTCTGGTTCCAGTTGCCTTCTCCAGATACATGCATGTTGATTAGAACTTGGAAATTTCCTGACAGAGCCACTGGAACACAAACCAGTTCCAGTTCTTTCTGTTGAACATGTTTCAAAAAATCTGTCTTGGTTCATATTTCTCTGGATGCTTCTCTGAAGCATAGGAGAGATTCTCACTTACCATGTGCTAACGGAGCCGGCAGACCTCAGCATGGAGATCCTGCCCCGATGGGAGGCGAGGTTGAGGCTGTGGTCACTTCTGGGAGCAGAAACCAGAGAAGCCGCACTGTGAGGAGGACATAGAGGAGACCCAAAACAAGATGTGTTGGTCAGCTTTCTATCACTATGACAGATACCTGAGATAATCAACTTTAAGAGAAAGGGTCAGTTTGGCCCACAGTTTTGAAACTTCCAATGTAGCTGAGCATACACATTGCTTTAGTTCTCCTGTAAAAGGGCAGGACATCAGCGTGGGTGTGCATCATGGTGTACAACTGCCCCTTTGATGGCCAGGAATTGAAAGAGAGGAAGAGAAAGGAGCTGAAGCCCCACTATGCCCTTTGGGGCACATCCCCCAAGAGGTGAAGACTTTAGTAGGTCCCACCTCTCAGAGGCTATACCACTTCCCAGCAGCATTACAGGCTGGTGATCCAGCCTGTAGCACATGGACTTTTGGGTGAGACCTAAGACCCAAGCTGTAGCAATGAAACAGCAGGAAAACTGTCTCATTAAAGCTAAAGGAAGCATGGTTGCTCAGCATGGAGAAGAGATCACTTGGGTGCAAACCTCTGGCAAGTAGTCATCGAAAAAGATAGTCATGGAATGTGTTTGTGTATGTTTGTGTGTGTGTGCATGCGTGTGTGCTTGTGTTTGTGCGTGCACACATATGTGTATGCTTAGATACAACCAGTATAACCAGTGAGTGGCTCAAAGTCAAGGGGTCAGACATGAGCTCAAGCTAAGGGTTTACTGACATTCACAGGGCTTCAGTGTGAGTCTATGGGAGCTGTTGGCGCGGCCTAGTGGGGCATTTCCAGCTGGGGTTCCAGCACCAGCCAGTGCTTGTCTAGATGTCATTGGAAGTCCCTCCAATGCAGATATTCTCAGCCAGCCACTCCCTACAGACTGGACTCCCTGACACAGTTTGGCAGAAGAAAATACATCTTACATCCTGGAGAAAGGTTGTCAGGCTCTGCTCTCACTGTTCACACACCCTAGCAGCTCTGGGTGTTCTCCAGCTTCAGTGTTATCTGTCCTTTCCTTTAACACTATGAAGTGTGTCTCACTGGCTTTCAATCATCACTATGAAGGAGCGGCCTGACTCCTTTCCTTGTCAGAACCTCTGATTTTCTGTTAGTGTGTTTGGGGTCCCCACCTGTATCTTGGCTATGAAAAAAAGAACATTGTGTTACATTTCTCAGGAAATAGACCTTCTCGGATAGGTCCTGTGAGCTGAGGCAGGACCTGGAACTGGAACTGCCTAGTAAAGTATGCATTGGCTGTGGGCATGGGGAGGAGGGCTTGGAGGAGAGGAAAGCCACAGAACCAAGAGGACAGCAGGCTCTGGGAGGCAAGGAAACCTCACAAGAGCAGAGCAATACGGCCAGCAGGCAGGGATAGAACCCTGGTCTGGCAAGCAGAGGCAACAGGAAATAGGTTTCTTGATGGAAAGTCATGATAAAATTAAGGACCAGGGTGTGAAGGTGAGTGTCCCAAGGTGCAGAATAAACCATGTTATCAGAGTGGAAGTACAACGTGGTGAAAGGGGTAGAAGCTCAATGCCAAACCTCAAGGTCACATTGGAGTGACTTTTGTCCTGTTCGCTTTAAGTTAGCAAGAAGCTGTCACAGAAAGCTGTGTTTACAGGTACAGAGAGTACTTCCAACAGAGGAATAGGAGGAGCCTGAGATGCCTGCAAAGCTATGTGCTGTATGATGACCTCCTTACTCCTGTCCATGACACTGGCTTGTACTTTTGTAGCAGTTCATTCCCAAGTAGCTGCATGGGTGGCCCATGGTACATGCGTTACATAGCTGTGTGTTGGCAGCTATTAGAGCCCAAAAGCAAGAGCTTAGACTGTAGAAGGCAAAATAATGGTCCACCAAGATGTCCACATCTTAATATCCTGGACTCGTGGATATATGTTACATGTCAGGGGAAGCAAGGCTGCAGGTAGAATTAAAACTGCTAGTTTGCCAACTTTGCAATCCAGAGATTTCTGGATTATCCAGATGGGTCCTGTCTAATAACAGAGGTCTTTTAAAGTGAAGGAGGGAAGCAGAAGGGTCAGCATCACAGTGATGCAGTGTAAGGACTCGACCAACTGGTGGTGGCTTTGAAGTCAGAAAGGGGTCGTGAGCCAAGGAATAAGGGCAGCCTCTAGAAGTCGAACAGGTGAAGGTTGTCTTCTAGGGTCAGTTAGTGAGGCTCAGGTCACATTCTGACTGGAAGAATGGTAAAGTGACACATTGTGCTACTGTAAGCCACTAACTTTGTTGTCATTTACAGCAGCAGTACACAACCGATGCACTAGCCCAGGGAGACACTGGGCTATACCGGATACTTGCCTTAAGTGTATTTTACATGCTTTACCTTGCAGACTGTCTAGTGGGATGAAAATGTCAGGGTCCACTGATAGAACCACGCTCAGGAACTTACCAGTGAAACAGGAAACATTTGTGTCAGAGCCTTGGTCCTCAAATATAGCTCATCACGGCCGAGTGCAACACCTCTGGTTACTGCTTGTTATGATAACATGTGTGTGTATTAGTCTTCCTAGCTTGCAGGAACCTGCACAGTTTTACTCTTTTCCATGTCCAAACTTTTTCTCGACACTCATTCATTCTCAAATGGTCCAAACAGCTCTTGAACCCTATTTTACTGGACGTTCCCTGCAGATGCTCTGTGTCAAGAATAGCTTTCCCTCAGCCTGCTGTGGACCTAAATACCTCCCATCTGCCCAGTTTCTGTGCTGCCTCAGGTAGTGTCTTTTGCCCCTGACAACTATTGGAAATCTTAGGGAATACAGCAAGGGCTTTGAATCAGGCATGGTAAACCTGGGTCTCACTCTATCAGTAGTATTATTTTTGTAATTCAGTTCTTCTGCACAAACATCCTGTATGCCAGGAATATAAAGTTTAGTGAGATACCCTTTGCCCTTCTGAAGCTCTCCATATAAGAGGAGCTTCACCAGGTAGTGTTAGGAGGCGACTGGTGCTCTCAGATATTATAAACACCACCCCATAGCAAAAAGAGAGCTACAAAAGAACAGATGCTGAGGAGGGGTAAAGTAATTACAGTTAGAGTTCTGGTTAGAATTTGTAGGGGGGTAATTTAAGTAAGGCCTTAATAAATACGTAAGTTGGGTTTGTCTGTTTTCCTGAGGAATCCTATATTTAGATCAGAGTTTCCAAATTTAGGCGCAATGACATCTTCAGCTGACTCTTTACTGGGGGAGAGGAGGCTGCCCTGGGTATCCCTGGCCTGTACTTGTTCAATGCGTCACACCTTGCTAGTGATGACAATGGGAAATGTCTCTAGCCATTGGCCAGGTTAACAAATGATAGCCTGAGGATTATTCTTGGCCTGCTGTCTAATTGTGTATGCTATAACACAGAAATGGTTTTTATGTTTTCAGATGAAATAAAAAATCCAAAGAAGACTATCTGGTGACCTAGGGAAAATGAATGAAAGCCAGCACTTCATCATATATAAAGTGTCACTGACATACCGCCATGCTCGCTTTTGTGAGCACTATCCTTGGTGGTATTTTGCACCAAAGTGTCAGAGCTGGGTAGCTGTGATGGCACAGTAAAGTTCATAAAGCATAAAATATTTGTTTTGTGGTCCTTGTATGGTTACCAGCTGACAGCTGATCTGGGTAATGAGGGATCTTGATGGAAGTGTGCTGAAGAGAGAATGGTGGCCAATGTAGTCTTGTGTTAAATGGAAGTGGTCTCCAGGCTGGGCAGCACCGAGGGATAGGGAGCACCTGAGCAGCAAGGATTCATTCATAGGATGTGACTGAGAACTAAAGAAAGAGAAATGTGCTCTGGGAGAGAGGCCTCAAGAACAGGAAGCAAGGGCATCCGAGTGGCTGCCCATTTTTGGGTAGGAAGGAAGTTCTCCAGAGATGCAGCAGACCTCAATGAGAGCAAATATCTACTAGGTCTAAAATGCAAAGATGACAAAAATGATAAAATCGTAACCAAGGCTGCTATGATAGCTAACCCCAGTAATCACAGATAAACTGAAAACTGGGTGCTCTTCCTACTTTCCAGGGGCTCCAATTCTCCTCAATGCTTTAGCTATGGCATCTGCTTTCATTGTCACATGGTCTTCTTATCTGTAAATCTGTATGTTTCCCCTTTTATAAAAACACTAGTCCCTGGATTTGCTCCCAAACTAATCTAGCATGAGCTCATTCTAGTTCAGGTGCCAATTACACTTGCAAAGACCCAGTTTCCAAAGGAGTTCACATTCCTAGATCCTGGGAAGATGTGAATTGAGGCTGAAGGGACAGTCTCCAGCTCAGCACACAACCTAGCTCCATCTACCTGATGGCAGCTGACAAAGACACAGTCTCTAATAATGTAAGCCTGCTGGCTAGTGATTCCCCCCTTTTTCCATATAATAAACTCATTTAAGCAAGATTATTAGATTAAGAATGAGGGCTGGGGATATAGCTCAGGGGAACAAGGGCCTGCCTGGCAAGCACAAGGTCCTGAATTCCATTTCCAAAAAAAAAAAAAAAAAAAAAAAAAAAAAAGAAGAATCAAACTGAGTTTTTTAGCTCAGAATCCTAAAGCAAATATCATTTAACCTATCTCTTTAAAACATTTTTTAAAAAAATATTTTTAGAAAACAAGAGAGAAAAATATCTCTTTAAAATATCTCCTTGTTCTACCATTAGTCAAAATGGAAATTTAACAATTATGCACTATGTGAGTGATTAGGTGTTACATCTAGGATTAATGAGAAAATTGGCTTCTGTTCATGGAAAAGAAATCACTTATCTGAAGTAGTAGGGTTCCTGCCCCCCACATGCCATTGGTTGATAGTAGATATGACACATGTGACTTTAACAACAGGCTATAAGGTGGAAGGGGCCATTCAACTATATTGCATTTTGCAAGAACAAGAAGTAAACTTTTGTAGGGATTCTTTGGTGTTGTGTGTTTTCATAGGAGAGCCTAATCTATCCCGTTTGACATGTTACCCCTTAAAGTTATTATTTCACCTCTAAGCTTTTATGACTGCATCTATTATTCAGTGCAAACATGGTTATTGAGCACAATATTTTATGGAATTTTGGGACATTATTAGCTTGACAATAATGACACTGAAGTTATAACAACCTTTCTTTCACTTTTGAGCCTCTCAAGTTCGAAGTATGTATGTCTATCTGAATGGTGGAAATGGATGGAGTGTCCAGTTGGGTGCTCTGCCAAAGACCATGATGTTATCTCTTCATTGTATGACTACACGTTTTGATATATAGTAGGCATCGATAAATATTTGTTGGATGTATGAAAATTGGAAGCATGCATTAGAATAACGATAGCTACTTTGACATCTATGACTTCATTTTCCAATGAATAACCTTGATTTGGTGCAAAGTGACATGCCTGCCCACTTGTTTGAGTTTACCAGTCTTCTTGCAAAATTGGTGATGCACAGAATGACGGAGAGTGCAAACACAGCCTCTGAAGTAAGATCCAGTTTTAAATCCTGGTCGTACTCATGTAGCCTTTCACAAGTTGTTTTAATGGTTTTTTTTGTAGAATTATGGAAATGCTTTATAAAATTTTTATAATAAGCAGAAGATGTGTGTAAAATGCCTAATATGGTGGCTATCACACTGTGAAGTTGTTATTGTATGTAAATACATGTAAATGTGCACACACACAGATGTCAGTCCTCAGGCAGCATTTTGTATTTGGGAATCGGTGTACACTAAAGCTTGTCTGTAGCTCCCCAAGCCACACTGACTGCACTTTGCAGTCGTTCCCACCCAGACAGAACTGTAAAAAGCCTGAGCCTGTGCTGTGCTTCTGGTCCCAGCTGACAGTGAAAAAGGCCATACACTGCCTGAAGATTTCAGCTCTCATCCTGGAAACAGGCGTCTTCTTGGCTACTTAGTGCAATGCTTTGTGTAGTGTTTGTAACTTTGTTGTAACTTTGCCATTTAAAATGAGTCCCAAAAATTTCAAATTCAAATTTTAAAATGTGCTGAAGCATCATCTAGTATTCCTGCGTGCAAGAAGATGTGCCTCATGAAGAAAATACATGTGATAACCAGGCTTCTTTCAGGCCTGAGATGTGGTACGGATGGCCACGAGTTCGTTGTTAATAAATCAGTCATACATGCTAGCTGAGGTATCTTTGACAAGAAACACACCTAAAAACAGCATTATATACATAGATCAGTTGCTCAAAATGTTGTGACCACCAGCTCATAGGCACCTCACCCTGTGTCTCCTATGCTAGCAATGGTTCAGTATTCACTTATTCAGTGTTCCTGGCAGCTTTAGAGAACAAATTACATGAATAATAAGAACCAACTATGTATACACAGCAAAATTTCCTTTATAGCCATTACATTTATAAAAGTTGGCTTTCAAAAATTTTGTTCCTAATACAGCTTCATCTTTTAAAAAAATTCTCGTCCCTCCCCCCTTCTCCCTCCTTTACATCCTCTTGCCCCACTTTTTGTTCTCGTTACTATTAATCTCATCTCATGTTTATGACTCCCCAAGCTGGTTACAAACTGCATGTATTGCATATACTAATAAAAAATAAAACAAAATATCCTCTTCCTCACTCTCAACAATGAAATGAAAGTACATAATATTTTAAGGATCCCAAGTGTGATAAAACTATATATAGTTGAGTAGGCTGAATCTAGCTTAATAATAAAATCAATTACCCAAGCTGATAATTGTAAAGATATTATATCAGAAACATCACCCTGCCTGTCTCATTTAATCTTCATAAAAATCATGAAGTAGAAGTATTATTATAACCATTTCATTGATTAGGAAATGAGACCTCGCAGGGTAAGCTCATTGCCTATAGTACATAGTAAGATATACAATTGGAAGTCAAAGCTGGGACTTATGATTGTAGATTCCAGAGTATTTTTGATGTTTAGTAATAAATAGTGCTTCATGAAATGATTTACGGATTTTTGTTCACCCACTAAACAGAGCCATTAAAACTCCAAGGCTCTCAAGTAAGATGAATGGTAGCAACGAAGTGGCAAAGGCAGATATTTATAATCTTTAAATCTAGTATTTTTCATTTGTAGGGACAGTGAACAATGTGAGAACAGGATCAGATAGCAACAGTCTCAGCCATTCTGCTCTTATTGTAAATGTGCTTAAGTGTATTCCTCTTCAGAAATCTTGGTTCTCTTCTTTCCTTCTTCATTTCCTGTTGAGAAGGAGAGAGAGCTTTAGAATTGTTTCATAAATTCCCATGCCAGACACAGAATTGCTTATTTGATATCTCTGTTGAATGAATAAAGATCAAGGTCTTCTAGATCTGTTTGAAAGATACATAAATTCAAATTTTAAATAATGTACTCACTTCAGATTTAATTGGCACCTCATATTTATATATAAGATTTTATACACCATAGCAGTTCAGTCATCTGAATCCAGTTATTTGGTTTTCCTGGCATAATCTGTCTAGGTACCTGTTTTAATAGATGCAAGCAATAGTTTGTCAAACAGCCAGATCTTCATAGCAGAGCATTTTCTTTTAAATTAGGAAAGCTGGCAAGTTTGGAGACAGCATTGCTAGATCAGTGCATTTTTTTCTGGTGATATTTTTGGCCTTTCTATGCTTATAAATACAAGTAACAGAGTCCTAGAGCTTGAGAGCACCTTAATGGTCATGGTGTCATTCATCTCATTTTCTCTTTATGGGAACGCATGCTCAGAGCAGTGACACCATATGCCCAAGGTGATGCAGGTGGTTAATGGTGAGACACTTCTTTCCCTTGCAGTAATCTGTCCGAGGTGTCACTTGGACCAGAGAAACCATGTTGGGCAGGCTACTGACTACTCTACAGTGAATAGGGCTTAATGAATTAACAGTATGAAGCAGCTGGGTTCTTTGGGGCATGATTTTTGTACAGGAGTCATAGGGGACTTGGGACAATGATTAAATCAACACTGCTGTGTTCTCGTTTTATATTTAACAACTAATGGAACAAGGGATCAGTGATTGGATAGGATTAAGGACTTTAACAGTAAGACTACTGTTTCTGATATAATACCTTGGCAATTATAAGTTTGGGTAGCTGATTTTATTATTAATATTCACAAATCCTTCTAAGTACTATAAATTCACTTTTCTCTTTTGGGTGATCTAATAGCTGAATAAAACAGTTGATGATTTTAGCAGTTTGTGTGATGTGTTTATACCCTTTTTCCAGAAAATGTTCTGGAACCATAAAATAATCAATTTACTGTGCTTACCCTAAAACTGTCAACAGGAAACATGGCCAGAACTTAGAATTCATATACAGAATGCATTACTATTCAGAAGAAGCTGAGGGTGAAAGGTTTTCTGGCAATAACTCTTAAATCATCTAGTAAAGATCAGAACCCTGAAAGTGTTTATCCTATGAAATTGAGAAAATACTCAGAAAGTAGGCGTTATACCTGAAATAATTGGTAGTAAATCTCCCAAACTGTATTTTTATCCTTTGAAATAGCTAAAAGTTTTAAACATCAGCCTCAAACTTCTAGCCTGACACTGTTTGCTTTAATAATCAGATACGGTAGGTATGGATTACTACATGATGCTTGAGCACAGTTAATATAGTTCTTTATATTTTAAAAATCAATTTGGAACTCACTTTTAAATATCAATTTAGGACCAGACTCAATCATTCAAGGGGATTCATCTTGCTTTTTAGGGCCACATAATGGCCTGGGCATGTATGGGTGTCCTCCAGAAAGTTTCTCCCTGGGAGATGGCCACTTAGGGTATGTGTTACTCAGTATGCTATTGTGTCCTAGGCCTCCACAAGCTGATGGACCTGAGCTTCCTCAGAAGTGGGTCTCACCTGACTTGTGGTCTTTGAAGGTCAGTAACTTCCTCTGGTGCTGTCAGCCCCCCTGTGCAAGCCAGGCCATGGAGGAGGAGATGGGGCTTCATTAAGGATGTTTCTGGGGGAAATTCCAATAGAATAGCATGGCACAGGGCATGCTCTCCTATCAATCATGGGCTAAGGACCAACTACTTATCAATCACTAAAAGTCCTGGTTCTCCTCAGGGACCCACCTCAAACTCCCAAGCAGTAGACCTAGTGTTAGAAGTAGCCCAAAAACAAGCTCTTGGGGAAATCTCAAACTCAAGCACAGGCACAGAAACACCTCAAAGTGTTGGAAAGTAACTTTCACCTACAGACAAACTCATTATCTATACATTCATATAGACTGCATCTCATGGATACAATCTTAACAGAGTGCATCATGGGAAAGGACAAGCACGGTAAACACAGAGGATGCTACCCAGCATGAGCTGTCAAACATATCCAGGTCAGCCCTCTGCAAGGGTCTTGGAATCTTGACCAGAAATATAAGACACCTCTACCCAAACCCTTGTCACTCATGCCAGTTCCCTTTCCAATGCAGACCTGTCCTCTTTGAGGATATCATCACATCAATGCCTTTCCTTGCTTGTTCTTTTATATCTGTGTACTCGTCCAATTCTTTGTCCATGACACACATGAACCTGGACCCTTGGGTCCCAACAGCACTGTGATAACCAGCACTACAATAATAACCTCATCAGGCTAACTTGCTGGTTTCTTTTTTCATATCCCTCAAAGGGATTGGGAGCCTTATAAGACCTTTCTTACCTGCGCTTGTCCTGCTAATCCTCTTTTGTATTTTTCGTTCAGACATACTTAACAAACTTATCCTGATTACTCCTGGCTTCTGGCTATCCTCTGAAGGTCTGCTTGTATTCCAACAATACCAGTGACTCCCGCTCATAAATGTTTCTCATCTCTCTTGGATGTGGTTGGACACTGATTCTCTGAAAAATGGAAAAAGCCCCTTATTAGGATAAAATATGAGACTTTGGGTCTTACATAGGCAGGGCCTCTGCCCATGACCAGCTGGAAGTGGCAGCTAAAAATGGATCCATGTCCCTCTATTTCTGTAAAAGATTTAGGGAGCCAGGTCTTTCAGGGAGGAATATGACAGGGCAGCTGGATGAGGGACACTCCCAGGGAAAAGAGACACTCCCAATACAGTGATGCCACATCACTGTACACAGAATCTGTCAGCAAACTGTTATTTTGAACCAATCAGAAACATATTTTCAATCATTCATTTGAATCTGGTGCTGTACATAGGGCCAGTCAGAAGATGCTCTTTTCAATCCTTCATTTGCATATTGGCACAGCCAATCAAACGATGTTATTTCTAACCCTTGCATGTAATAGAAAGCCAAGGGAATTTTGGATAGGACAGTACATGCAAAGTATGAGGCCGGACGAGTGTTAGGACAACTTTCCCAATGCCTTATTTGCATGAAAAGGAGATAATCTGGGAATCTCGGATGCAAAAGACCTGTTTTCCTCATCCTTGGGAGCTGCTGTGAGCCTTTTCACCAGCCAGTTCTCACCCTCCAGAGCAGACTTCTTTCCTTCCTTCAATAAATGTACATTTTTGCTACCTTTTCTGTGTGTCTTGTCCAGTTCCTTGTATATATGCTGCTGAAGCGAGCACTTGTCCAGTTCTTTGTTTAGGACACCAAGAAGGTGGAATGAAGCCTTGTGGGACTCTCTTTCCACCCAGTAACACCATCACTTTAGACACGGTGTCTTTAAACTGCTCTGCTCGCTAGCCACAGTTGTAACCCTTTCAGTCCTGGTCCCTAAGAAATCATTACTTTCCTGACTTAAGCATATCCATATTTGACACTGAGATCCCTTTGCATTGCATATCACCTGAATAAATGCACTCTTCATTTTCTCCTGGGATTAGGAAATTCCAACTCCCAAGATCATCAGTCATTTTGGGATGTGATGGAAAAACCATTTGAACTTTTATGAAGTGAGTCTATAAAAAATGAGACAGTCATTTTCTCAGTAGGTCACTCTGCTATGAAAATTGCCATGTGATGGACAAGTTTACTTAGGAAAATGAAAAGATGAAACATTATGTTTTAATTATTATTATTATTATTTCAATTAACAATAATCATGCCACGGATAAGCCTCATTGGCTACAATACTGCCACTGCACAAAGCTATTATTGTTGTTACTGTTATTATTATTATACTGGAGTCAGTCTTCAGAGAAGCTGTTTTTCTAGTGTAGGATTTCCTGCTAAGAGATCTTCAATCTTCTGTTGAGTACACTGAGTTGATGGCTTTCACTGTGAATTTACTTAAAGTTTTTAAGGGTATTTTGGTCACCTCGGGGTACTATGAATTATGAAGGAGAGATGAAGGGGACTCAAATAAGCCTTTGCTATCCATTTTGGAAGCAGCAGTTCTTATTGTTAGTAGTAGGGGTTAAAACCGAATCTGTGAATTCTGAGCTGAATCTTGTAAACAGGAGAGATAGAGGTCCTTGGACTGGGGGAGTCCCCAGGCATTTGAAGAAATGATTGCTGTTTTGTTGCCACCTGATTAGATCCTTTAAGTGAGACATTGGAGAACTGAGGTACACCGCCTCCTCATATTTTCGCCCTCTGATTGTATCTTGATTAGTACAAACCGCTAATCACTAGCATACTCATTTTACTTTCTCAGTCAATAGAGCAGATGAAATCAGAACATATCAACTTATCACTTCAGTTAGTAAAGCTGATGTATCAATGGTGTTGATGGGTGAAGAAGGCAGTACCGTAACTGCTATGTCCAGGAATAGTGGACTCCATCCTTCTTAACACAAACGGGAGGATTTTTTTCTTTCCTTGTCAGAAGGAAACATGTCCAAACATTTGGTGAATACTGATGTTTAATATTCAAGAATTTTGCTTTTAGTCAGGCTTGGTGACACACACATGTAATGCCAATAATCTGGAAACCTCAAGCAGGAGGATTTCAAGTTCGAATCCAACCTGTCCTATTTAGCCATTTAGTAAGCCAGTATTTCAAAATTAAAAAAAATAAAATGGCTGGGAATGTACTTCATTGTGAAGGCTCTAGTTGAATAGCCAGTAATGCTAAAAAGTTTTTTTTTTTTTTTGCTTTCAAGAAAATTATGTTTTCTATATAGATTATGATAAGAAAATGAGTTCATGTAGAAATTCAGAATTTCAGAGAATCTTGTATTGGCAGTATAGGGTATGTGTTGGAATTGCTGTGGTAATAATGGAAATTAAAACTGATACAATAGCATGAAATTACAGGGAAATCCTGAAATGAGGTATAGGAAGAAAAGGGAGTGGGGGGATGCAGCCCTGAGAAGATCAGACTGAGAAGTTCCATGAAGAACAGGATGAGCTTTCATGGCACCGCTGGGGTGGGTTAGGGGCTGGTGACGTCCTACTGTCTCATGAGTGTGACATTTTTCTCAGGCCTTCTCATTCATGTTTTGGGATCTCTCCTGGTGGAAGGTGTGATTAGCAGCTCTTCCAGTTCATGGAGATGTCATCCCTGCAGTACAGCCCATGTGGTCCTTGTGATGATAAAAGGGGAGGGGAGAGAGAGGACCTGTTTTGTGCATTGTTGGGATAGGCAGCAGATAGGGGAAAAAGATATATCTTCATCTGCAGTGGGGAATAGGTCATGAATTAGGGCCCACGAATCCTCCTGTCACCTGTCCAATGAGGATACTTGTCTTACTTCACCGCCATCTTGTCTTCACCTTTTCACTAAGATTCTGTTTCACTCTGTGGTCCTTTGTCTGTACAATTTTGGTGCTTTCCTCTCTTCCACTGGGTACTGATGAACTCACCAAGCTTCCTCAGTCACTCACGTAGTAGACAATCAGTGTGCTCTGACATTGGGGACCATTAAGGCTTTTCTATTCTAAGGGATGACTGTCCACACTTGCCTTTGTCCCCCTTTCTTGGCAGCTTTGGACATGAGTCAACTTCTGTCACCTCCCTGTGTCTTAAGTGTTATGAAGTTGTGCCATGCTAGCTAAGTCATTCTTCATCTTTCAGCCTTTATACACATTCCATTCTTCCTGAAGCCACCTCCCTGGCTCCTGTATACACTTCCTGTTATTCCAAAAGACATTCTGTCTGATGGGCACTGAGAGAGTCTGGGATTGCTGCGGGAACAGCACTCTTCTGACATGTTACACGGTCACTTTATGATGAGGACCACAACTTTCCTGGCTCATTCTTACCTGCTGGCCCCTCAGCTTTGTGCTCACCACATCCTTGACCATCATCCCCCCAGCCTGTGTTTCAGGATGGTGGCAGTGTGGGGCCATGTGAAGGACATGAAGGAGTTAGGAGATTTGTGCTTCAGTCTTGTAGCTAAGATCTCTACAGACTTTCACCATATAGCCACCTTTAATTCCTCATAGCAAGAATATGAGGTCAAGCCACTAACTCTATTTTATTTTAGGAAACAGTCTCAATATAGCTAAAGTAACCTTATCTAGAGCTGTGATTTGAATCTAGCTTGATTTTATCACAAAATCCATGATATTTTCTGTGGCTCTGTATGCTTCATACATTTTTAAAGAAAATATATGGACTTCACCATCATGCATCTTAATAAACCAGTTCAGTGAAATTAGATCAAAATATCTCTATTCTGGGTTTTGATCCAAGCAGGGAGGGGTGGTGCCACAAGCCTGACACAGAGCGTGGTACTGGAACACACCACGGATGAAACCTTACAGTACAGAGGCTTGGTGAGGAAGGTGAAAGTGAGCCCACGCCTGTGCTGGCCCTTCAGTGTGATAATTCCCAGTCTTGTGGGGTGACACAAAAAGTACCAGCATAGCCATGAATCCTACCATTGCTCGGCCCCAGCCCAAGTGATTCTGAGTTCATTAGCTAAGGTGGGTCTGAGTCCATAATATATAAACCTCTCTGAAGTGATTCGAAGTCTCACCTAGAGTTGGAAACCATTAAATCTTAATCTACACCTTTCCAAGTGTAATTGGCACAAGAGTCTCTGTGGTTCTTAAAAAATGCAGCTTCTCATCAGGGGTTCGGTGGGATCTGAGATTGGTAGTCTCAGAAGCAACCACATTATGTGGAAGTTTTTGTCTGGTGGCACATACTTGGGGTAGCAAGCTTTAAACAGCTATGCCATGGCTGTTAATTGCACACTTGTCTTGAAAATTCTTCAAAAGAAATCATTTGTTCTCTCTTGTGTGGTCCCTTTTGGCCATGTCTGCATGCAGTGGTAAAATGTATAATTTGTGGGCAGTCCATAGTTAAATTAATGATTATGGGTGATACACCTGAATAATTCAGGTCCTGTGTAGGCTTCTGCTCCCCCAGGGACTAAACTAACCTAGTGATTTTCTAACATTTATCTCCTGAGTCTTACCTAGTACAAAACCTGCTTTTTTACTTGTGGTTATTCTCTGCTCACCAACTTTACTCCTCTGTTTGGGAAGCAGTGGTAAGAGGATCTGGGCCTCATATTCTCAGGAACTAGGGACCTTTCCTGCTTTCACATGTAATATTTTGGATTCTCTTGATCCAGATGCTGGGCAGAACCCAGCAGGATGGAGACAAGCAGCTCCATCATCTCTCTGTCTGACTTCAGGAATTCCCAGAGTTGCTTTGAGGTTTCTCAGCCAACTCAGAATAACACACAACCTGCATGTTTATCAGTATCCAAATAACAGTTAAAATAATGTAGTTTAGATAGACTGCAAGTAGATACTGTACATGCAAAATGTGTATGTAGCTAATATCTATAGTTTTCACTGTAAAATAGAGAGGCTTTCTATAATTTTGCAAACCATGGTTATTATGACCAGTATCATTTGCAGAATCACTAGAAAACTCAATAATGGCATTAAATAAAGAACTCAAGAGGCACCTTTTGGGGTCCAGCACTGACTTCCTCAGGCAGTTCCAATGCTTCAGCTTCTTTCCAGCCCAAGCCCAAGGCTGCCTCTGCTCTTTCTGTCTCCAAAGTTAGCCTGTACTTCATCTCTCCGGTGTTGCTGGCACTGATCACTTTTCTCATCTTTGAGTCCTCTATAAATATTCATAGGCTATAAGAAATGATCCAGGAAACTGGCTCTCTAGTTGAATAGCTGATGCCGCTGGATAAGTAAATCATCCCTCAATCCTGAGAATGGGGTATGGATTAAGTAAAGTGGGAACACTGGCAGAATGGAAAGAACCAAAGCCAGTATCAGTGCCAAGTGCCAGCTTGCCTGTCGTCCTGTTCCTACCTTAGTACCTATGACCCAGGCTATGCCTCATTCTGTACTGTAAGGGTGGCACTTTCTGGGAGTAGCTATTGGGAATGGTAGGGAGTCAACCAGTTCCTGTCACGAAGACCCACTGCCCATCTGGGGCTCTTCTTTCTACCCATATTAAATATGGGATGTAAGGTTTAGGAAGACAATCTGTCTGCATTTCTAATAGTTCCCAGTTGGGATGTTGTTATTGTTTACCAAAGAAATAATGCAAAATTTATGCAAGAGTTCTTACCTACCCATGATTTCACTCCTCCTCCTCCTCCTTCTCCTCCTCCTCTTTCTTCTTCTTCTTTCTTCTTTTTGTAATCAAATATGGTCAGCTATGATCTAAAAATATTAATGAAAATTTCAGGAATAAACAATTCATACATTTTAAATTGTACACTCTTCTGAGTAGAATGATGAAATTCCACACTGTCCCCCTTTATTGACTTTATATAAAGTTATAAATCATTCCTTGGCCCAGTGTATCCACACTGTACATGCTCCCCACCTGTCAATCATTTACTACCCATCTCAGTTATCAGATTGACTGTCACAGTATGCTTGTGTAAGAGTAACAGTGCTCATAATTCTGATATGCTGAAGAGGATCCATAAAGTGTTTCTTCCATGTGAGAAAGTCAAAGTTCTCAACTTAATAAAAAATTATATGCTTAGGTGGCTAAAATGTATGGTAAGATGTATAGGAAGAAACATAATATATGTAAGGTTCAGTACTACCTGAAATTTAAGAGACTCACAATAGGTCTACAAAGGTGTCTCGCGTAGATAAGGAGCCACTGCCAGAAGGATGGTGCTCTGATTCTTGGGGTCTCTGACATTTCACAGCAATCCGATATTTCTGTATTTTTTCATTGTGGCTGCAAGTTCAAACAACTTAATGAATGTATCCAAATAATTCAGCAACTGTGTGAAAAAAATGCATAGCACCTGAAAGACAATTTAATATTTTCATTTTATTTTTAAATGGCCACACTGACTAATAATGTCTTTGCCTATGAGTAGCAAGGACTTTTCAAATCCTAAAATTAGATGGCTCATTGACTTTCTGGTGCTCACAGATTGATTACATTGATTGACAGTAGTATCCAAAGATCTAAGTTTCACTGAAATTTGATATAATCAAAAGGATCATAGCAGCTAGCGTTGAGACTGTGAACTACCTTGAGCTGGGCTCCTGTGGCATCCAACAGATGTCGCTTATTTTCCGAATTTTTAAATACTCCATGAATTTCTTATGGTTCATTGCATTATCCCAGGATGCCTCTGCCTAAAGATTAGGATCTGTGGCCTAACAAAGATTTTGGCAACACAGTGGGAAAAGCCCGTTAACTGAATAGGATGTGGAGATCAAGTGCCACGAGTACATTATATCTATAGAGAAGCAGCTGTTTTTAAGATCAATCTGGACAAAGAGGATGTGATCGCTGATTTCAGTATCAATCATTACATCAAACAGGCAAAATATCCTAAGCTAAAGCCATGATTCCTTCTCTTACATAAATCACTTTACGGAGAATAGGTTGCTTCCCCCATTCAGTAGAAGTCAATTTAACACATATTATGTGCAATTCCAGTTCTGGTCATCTAAGATAGATCCATGAACAAAGTAGGCAATAATCTTTGCCCTGGTGGAATTTACCTTCTAGCCTGTTATTTGCCATGCATGAAAGAATGCAGTCTCCTAAATTTTAGATGCTTTTGTCTAGCAAAACAAGAAAATTATAAAAGGATTTTTCCCTCTAAAGTTTTATGTAATGGCTTATTTTTGAAGATTAGAGTTCTAAAGAAAACAGGCATAATTCTTAAGATATTTAGAGGCTAATCAGAGACTGAAACTACAGGGAATTATTGTATATTAATGGAAATCAATGATCTATGAATACTGTCTTAATGAAGACTGATGATATCTGAATGCAGCGTAGGTAAGCCAGCAGTCCTTATTAATAGGTTGATTAGACAAAGAATGTTGATACATAATTGAGTTGGAATGATGGTTTGGTGAAGTCATCTTCATATTTATTTATTCTCAAGAAATTCAAAATGATATTGGATATATTGTAATGATTTTTCACTTTCTTCTTGGTATTAGAAGCAACAGTATGTGGATTTTCTATTTCCTGGCCTTGGGTAGCAAAATTCACTTTCAGGCCTATGGTATGAGAAGGGAAAAAGGCATTCCATTTCATCTATATAGTCATTTTAGAATCTTTGAAAAACTTGAAAGAGTGCATTTCTCTGGATCTTTAGGAAAAGTAGGGTAAATTGGTGTTTTAGCATCCTATTCTCTCTGAGCCAGCTTTTCTCCATTTCATTTCCTGGAAAAACCAACAATAAATTAATAAATACATCACTGCAAATGAAATCTTCCAAGATTTAATTTAAGGCCTTATTGTAGCTCCACAAGTCCTGTAAGCAGGATTTCCCCGATTTTCCACTAAAACAAGTTGGCATGAAATGTGGCCTCTGTAGGCATTGAAGAAATAAAAATGTTTTGCTTCTGCATCAAGTATTATATATCCATGAGTATAAAAAAGTATTCATTCTCCACAGCAGAAACAACCATTGCTGAGAATTTTATTTATAGCCTTCTAAGTTCTTATGTGTGTGTTTTTGTGCACACACATAATTTAAGAAGTAATTTAGTTTATACCACATCTTTTAGCTTGTGTTCTACACTGAACATTTCCCCAGATCATTAAATATTTTTCTAAAATATATTTTAATTTTTTCTATTGTTGTGTGACAATAGATGCCCATAGTTTATGGAAGCCGTCACCAAGGATGAGTCTAACTTATTTGTTAATCCTATAAGATAAATTTATTGAAACAAAGTAGTGAAATTTAGCTATTGAAACATTCTTACTAAAACACAGCATTCCTCATGCTAATATTATGTAAGAGTCCCTGGCACTTCCCTTCCTATACTGTACTTGGTGCCTCTGGTTCCTTCAGGAGATGTGATGGCCGCTGTGAGTCACAGGGCAGCCTGGATGCACACCGTCCGCTGCCCTTGGTGTTAATCAGGCTCACGCTTAACCCACTGAGGCAGAACTGTCTGGTGACAGAGCTGAGGTTCTGCCCCTGAAGCTGCCCCATATCCAGGCACCAAATGACCCAGGTGCATTTGCAAAACACAGGGATACTTGCTGAAGAATTACTACTGTCATTAATTTGATTTAAGATAGAAAAAGGAGAAAAAAGGAGAGGCAGTTCATCATACAGACTAAAGCAGTTTTCTTTTTAGAAAAAAGATGCATATTTCCAAATAGTCTCCACCAAAAGCAAATATTGAAGCCTAGGAAATGTGATTGGACTCTACATTTGACCTGTTTGTTTCTTTGGCGTCTTGCTGCTAGGCACCATTGGGAGCTGGTTGACAGGAAGTGTGGTGCTGGTCTCTGCATCAGAAGAGCAGGTCTTTGCCATTTCCTTTGCTGCTTATTAGGCAGGGGCTCTGTGCTGAGTGATTCATCCCCTGAGCTCCCAGCTGCCCCAGTGGTCAAGCAGAATATTTTTAACAACTAAAATAAGAACACACATGGAACAGACATAATAGAGTAAACTGTATGATATTATACAACTGAGAAAAATTAGAATTATGGATAAGAATGCCTTGGGTGAGAAAAACAAATCTTTTAAATTGAGTAAACTCCTGGTTCCATTTCTTTGTGTCAAGAGCTCACTAATCTCCTGGGATAAAGGCTGCATTTTGTTCTCCTAAAGCCTCCAAAGTCTAAGGAATGAGTGAACGGGGGGGGGGGGGGAGCGCGGAGAGGAGGATGCCAGCCCAGGGCTTGTTGCTGTGGCTGAGCTGAGCTCATAGTGGCTTTGGCTCAAGGTTGCTGGATGAGAATCCTGTTGCTGAATATAGCACCCGAGTCTCCCACTAAGGACAACCATGCTCTGGTCTGATAAACAAGGCTTTGCCGTCTATGGCTGGATCCTCTCTGTTCAACTGAAATATCTGCTTCAGTCTCTGAAGAATTATTCCCAAGAGTTCCACAAATACACGTTTCCTGAGTGTGATGTGAAACTGGGTTGCTCCCCAACCTTGCTCCCTTAGCCTAGGACATCGCCATTACCTGCTCAGTCCCATGCCAGAGCCAGGGGCAGGGCTGGGATCTGGGACGGGGAAATCTCAGCCACAGCTTCTGGTCTGAAAGTGGTGTTTCTGGAGTGATGTGCACACTTTATACCGGAGAGACAAACTTTGCCGAGTTTTCAATAGCAGACAGCCTGCTGCAGCATGCATGCCACAGATTCACCACCACTGCTTTATACTCTCCGAACGTCCTGGTCATCCTGGCCACCCCAGAAAACAGGCAGGAGTTTGAGAGAACAGTGACTTCCACTGTGTCGAGATGAATCTAGAAGAATAAAGGAGCCCTGGTATGTGTCTCTACTGTGGTGTGCTACTCTTTATGATGTTGCTTTCACTCACCTGTGATACTGTCACTCATTTGCTTGGATTTATAATGACTAACAGGACACAGAGGTTCCCATGTCCTCAGTGTCACAGTTTAAAAGAAATAGGAAAATTCTTTGTTACCATCTTATTTTACTCACTTATTATGTGAAGAATGCTCATTTGCTCACTCTGCAGAAGCATGGAATAAACACTGTGTTTGTCACCACACATGCGCTGCCCTGGGGAGAGCCCCGATGCAGACAGTGTGACCTCACAGACTGAGGCAGTGTTCTCACAGGGACAGGCACAGGGGGTTTTGCAAACGATTCTTTTTTGGCTTTTGGAGACTGCGTCTTGCTATGTGCTATGTAACCCAGGCTGGCGTTGAACTAGAGGCGATCCTCCTGCCTCAGCCTCCCAAGTACTGGGATCGCAGGTGTGCACCAACACACCATCTCTGCAAACATTTTTGTCCTTTAATCAACCATGGTTTTTTACCAGAAAGAGTATGGTACAGAGACACATATTCTTTCCAACTATTCCTCAGGACACCTCGCCAGATAGTCTACAAAGAGCTGTTGAGAACCTGCCCCCGACAAACCGTTACACCCGGGAAAGGATATTGAGATTTATTCCAGGACCAATGATGATTAGAACTTAAATGTTGAAGCCTGATTTGTTTCACTTTTCTCAAGTTGTCATGGTGTAGCAACTTGATTTTTAGTGGCTTGTAATCAGTTATAGATGCAAGCTCTTTTGTTTCAAACATCTGTGCTGAAGGCATTTTGAAAATGAGAAATTTTAGGATTCGGAGTGTAATAAGGCAGACATCATATAATATGTTTATGCAGATCTGCAATCCAAATTATTAATAATTCTGTTACAATATGTATGTATGTTTACACTGAGTGGTTATATACGCAACTTATAAATAGTCTCACACACAAATAGGAATTGGTGCAACTAAGATTACAGGGTGCTGTTAAGACCTGCCATGTGAATCGTGCAGCTATAAATGCTCCATAAGCTCTGAGGAGGAGAACTCATTTTTGCTGAAGTTGTCAAGGCCTCAGTGTGTAGATGGGTTTGAGTAGCATCCTGCAGGACTGAGTGTCTCAACAGAAAGAGGATGACACGGTGCCCTGAGCCGTGCTGGTAAAGGTGTACTGATACTAAGGCAGATGGTACAAAAGCTCCATGGGTGCTTGAGTTTCTCCATGGGAGAAAGAATCTGAATTGCTGTCTGACCCCACCAGTATTAATTTATAATATTAGATAGCATTTTGTATTTTTTTATGTCTTAGAAAAATGGAAGAATTGACCAGTGTTTTAAAAAGAGTAATTGTTATTTTATGCTGTCTTGTGGAGAAAGCTGTAATTTTTTTCTATTGCTGATAGAAAAACTAACTGTAACGCTGTTGGATGTAGTATGGGACTGTCTTTTATGAGGACATCTAAGAAAGTTTCACGGTAATTTTCAAAGGACATCTGAGAATATTTAGATCAGTGACTCTAGACATTGGCTGTGCTTTGAGAAGATGGTCAGCGTAGGAAGCAGGGCTTTTGAAACTCACTGGTGTTGGTTCTCACCCCTAACCACAGCCAGGTCACAGAGATTTTTAAAGTTGGCTACATTTAATAATAAAAACACTGGTTTTGATGAACTTACTCTGGGTTTTAGGTTTTATAAAGCATAAATGAAGTCAACATCCTCTTTAAGCATTTTCTGCAATTAGAGTGAAAGTGTAAAGTATAAAAGTAAAATAAAATTTACATATCACTTAGTGTTTTGTTTAAAAGTTGCTTTTAAACCAAAAGATAATTTTATCTCATTTTGTATTCATTTTATTAGAATATACATTTTCCAAAGATTATGAGTGTTATGATCCATGTATGCACACAGATTTATCATTAAAACTTGGAAACTGCTCTCCTCCCATATAATTTCCATATTTGGCACCCAGTCAAAGCTGTAAAAGGGAGACGGCTTCTACGATCTGCTCCATCTCTACCTAATGAGCCCTTAGCTGCAAAGAATGTTAGTTCTAAATGAGATGGAGGCGCTGAATTAACCCCGTGGAAACCAGAGACCCCAGTGACTGGCTGCAGTTCACACAGCTGAGGGACGGTGCTGCCTGGGCCCAAACAGGCTTCTGACTGACTCAAGGCCATTTCCAGGCTGCTGCTTTTTTTTGCTTTTATGGCATGAAGGGACCATGAACTGGCTTTAGATTGGGGAATACAGTTGGAAAATGAAACAAAACAAAAATTAGACTTTCAGGTTTCCTATCCTAGGATAGTAGAATCGTTCAGGAGTAGAAGGTATGATACAGACATAGCATCAGACTATGCACCTGTTTGCAAGATAAGATTATCTTATTTGATAAAAAATTCAATGTGCCCCACTCCTGTGAGGATGCAGTGTCAGGTATCGATTGATAAAACTGACTTTGAGATGTTTTTTAGGGTCCAGTTTAGAAAACAATAAATTATGCTCCGAGAGTCAGCATGCATTCAGACTGTAAACATATGAGATCTTTTCTATTTCCATCAAAAACAATAAGTGGCTATAAACCCTCAAAAAAAATTTTTTTTCTGGTACCAGGAATCTAACTCATGACCTTGTACTTGCCAGACAGGCGCTGTGCCACTGAGCTAAATCCCCAGCCCCCAATCCTCAAAAATTGATAAGGATGTGGGGAAACTTTGGAAGTAAGACCCAATTGCTTGAGAAAAATGGGCAGAGGCCCTTTCAAATCGAGGTCAATTGCACATTTATAGCTTTTATTAGCATTTCTAAGTCATAGAGAATAACAACATGACCAGCTACTGGGATATTTGGCCCATATTTGAGCTTTATTTCTACATGATTCTAGATGACTCGGTCCCTTATTGAGCCTTTTAAGAGACATATTGCTTATCTGAGTCACTAGAGAAATAGTGCCTCTAAGTTTAATCTAAGCTACCTAAAACTTCTGATCTGATAAAATCACTGCAGCTACTGAGGCAGTCGTCCCGGTATAGGCATTTCTTGGATAAAATGTCACTTGGTAAGTGTGTATTTCTATATAGATTATCAAATCTAAAAAACAGTTATGCGAAAGCTTGGGCGTGGATTAATTGGTGTCTTAACCTTCACGGATGTCTTGTCCCTCTGCCTTTTTCCAACAACGACCCTGTTGTTCCTGGTTTTGTCAGCCACAGGCCTCGTCACCGAGATAAGGAGAGCACGGGAGGGACTACTAAGTTGCTTAAGATAAAGGAGCCACAGAAGAATCTAAATATTGTTTTCTTCTCCAAAATATTTGAGTCAGAATATTTTTTCTATGATTTAGTGAAATCTTCTATAAAATACAACAGTCTAAGGAAAACAGTCTTTATTTATTTTGTTTGAGAAGAGTTCTTGGGTCCCTGGAAGGAACATTGCCTTGGAAGTTAAGCATTTGGTTTAGAGTTCTGCCTTTCCTGTAATGAGATCCCTCACCTCTAGCAAGACCCTGGCTTCTCAGAGTCAGTCTTCTGAGAAATAGGACCATACCTCCAGCCAGCAATCAAAGGATGGAAGCAATTTGCATGTCGATGCATACAAAATTATTTTTACTTTTAATTAGTAAAATCCTCCAAGCTAGATTTGGGGTCTTTTACCCTAAAACCGCAATAACTAAGTTCACAATGGAATTGTTAATAACTGGGACTGTGTAATCTCAAAATAGTGATATATGTCTTTTTAGCTTAGATAAGCAGCGTCTGTTCTATAATGTTTTTCTTTTGGTCTTTTTGGGAACAATGTTTTAATTTCAAAATGAGTTTTAGCAGATACAGATTGAAAAATATCTTATCCCAAGAAATAGAAATAAATAACAAAATGCAGAGTTTCCCCCATTGGTACCATTCATATCACTGAAAGATGTTTCTATCACTTAAGAGAATCCTTTATTTGTTATTTGCATTTATAGCACACAAATATTCATCTCATTCACTCAGAATCTTTCAAGTAATGATCACTTGATGTTTACTTCAAGTATTGGCTATATTTTAATTAACAGATCACTCCTTAATTTTGGAAAGTTTATTTTTTAAAATTCCATTTTTTTCCTTTAAGAGACAGACTATTGAGCTATAAGATTTTGACATGAAAGTAGGCATATTTTTATTGGAATACCTTAGAAATTTTCATTTATGTCCTAATTCAAAAATGGAGATTGGCAAAGATAATTTTCCTGTTCTCAATACTGAGGAAAAGGGTCTTAATCTTTGGAAATTCATTAACATACCCAGGACTGGTGGTGCATACCTGTTATCTCAGCACTCAGGAAGCTGAAGCAGGAGGATGAAACATTCAAGCAGTTTAGAGACTTAGTGACACCCTGTCTGAAAATTAGAATAAATAAGTAAGTCGGTAAGTAAGTCTGTCCAGAGATGTGGCTCAGGGCATAGCCTCTGAATGCAATCCCCAAGACCACATAAAACAAAACAAAGAAATGGACTAACGTGCCCCATGGTTGTCTGGTTGTTTTCTTTCACAGCCACACCCCTGAGCTCACTTAAACCCCCAAGGGTGGATGCTGCGCCAGTGGTCGAATCTCCTTATCAAAGAAGAGACTCTGACAGGTACTGTGGGCTCTGTGCAGCCTGGTTCAATAACCCGCTGATGGCCCAGCAGCATTATGATGGCAAGAAACACAAAAAGAATGCAGCTAGAGTTGCTTTGCTAGAACAACTGGGGACAACGCTGGATATGGGGGAACTGAGAGGTAAGAGCACCTGTTCTACTTTCTGCTACCAGACAGCTCTCTGAGAAAGGAGTGCACTGTCCAAGTCAGGATGATTCTTATTGTTTCAGTCATTAAAGAAGACATGAGATTCCCCCAAAAGAAATGGAAGAAGGCCAGGGACGTAGCTCAGTGGCACAGCACCTGCCTGGCAAGCACAAGGTACTGGGTTCCATTACCAGTACCAAAAATAAAAAACCAAAAAATAACAAACAAACAAACATAAAATGACTGGTAAACTCTTTTGCTGGGAGTGGTGGTGCACGCCTGTAATCCCAGCACTCAGGAGGCTGAGGCAGGAAGATCATTGCAAGTTCAAGCCTAATCAGGGGTACAAAGTAAGCTGAAGGCAAGCCTGAACTGCATAGGGAGACCCTGTCTTAAAAAAAAAAAAAAAAAAAAAAAAAAAAAAAAAAAAAGGGAAAAAAAAAAAAAAAATAAGGAAGTTAAAACCAGAGTTTTATAATTCCCTTCTCTGCAGAGTATTTATTTCCATATTTTTTATTGACTGCAACAGTGGTGCCATGTAGCATCTTCAGTCACCACCTGCCTGACCCCTGCATGGACAGTTCCTTCTGGCTGCTGAAAACCAGGCAGCATTTGAGTTTGCATGAGGTATCACTAAGGCTGTTGAGCAGACTTGGAAACTGTAGGCTGATAGCAAGTCCTGTGGATAATTTAGGAAACTGTAGCCAATTTGTGGGACTTAATAGAATATTCCATCATTAGCAACCATTTAAGCCTATTTTGATCACTTAATCACTTTGGATCAGCTTGGTATTGGCAGTGCAGATGCAAAACAGAAGTGCATACTATATTTTAAAATGTATTTTTAAGAAAAATAATTGTGTGCCTTATGTACATTTTGTGTTTTTCCTATAAGAGAAACCATGTGATATTTAAGCTTATGTGTCTGATTTATTTCACCTAAAATTATGGTCTCAAAGTGCCTCCATTTTCATAATAGCCAACAGGGAAATATATATTTTGAACATGGGAAAGGGACCAAGAGATGATGGGAGTGGGGAGGGAGATAAAGGGAAGGGAATAAAAAGAATTAAGATGTGCTCCGCGCATGTATCACTTCCCCACCATGAATGTAATCATTATTACTGCAAACATGTACTAATAAAAATTTTTTAAAAGACAAGTAATTTTTCAAAAGATGCTGTTGATCCTGTGTCTCAGAGTTGGTATCTAATTATGGGCTCATCAGAGGACCATCATTCAGAACAGCTGTACACTAAAAAAGACATTTGAGGTCAGTCACGAGAATGCAACCTTTACTGGGTTTTGCATGTTGAACCTGTGAGTCGGGTTGCACTGACCTGGCTGTGGACTCTAAGAGGGATACTTAGAACAAGAAATGGCCTGGTATGTCTCTTGACCATGTAAGTGGGATGGATGATTTTTCTGTATGAGCTGGGAGGAGAGAGGTCACTTCCGCATATGTTGAGTGGGAAAGATTTAAGCAAGGAAAAGGAATTGGAATTAGAAATGTGTGTGGCATTTTAGCAGGTGAGAAGGCATTCTGTGTGAGCAGGGTCGTGTACACACAGACCGAGGGCCAGGGGACAAGCAGTAGACAGCCTGATAATTAGCATTGAAGAGTTCAATTCTACCACATGGGCTCAAGGTTATAGGGTGAGAACACGATTAGAGACTGCTTCTTCCAAGACAGGTGATTCAATCAGTAACTAAGAGCAAAAATATAAAGCCCTTGATTTTTGTGTATATTTTCTAGCTATAGAAAAACATGGATGTAATGTTTTAGTATGTCAGATTGTCTCACTATAGGAGATTTTGAACCACTGGTACTATTGCTTTCTGTTGGGGAATTTCTTATGTTCTCAGTCAACATTTTGTTAAAAATATAAGATACCTCTCCATAGCTGAAAGCCGACCCTCAACTCTGCTCCTCCTGGCAGATAACAAATTGGCTCAGTGACTCCTTCACAGCAGGGCACTGAAGGAGAAAAACAGGGCTTTATTTATGTTTTGTGCCAGATATTATGACCTGAGGAAGAATTATTCCTACAGCACATGGTTCTTGTCTATGTTGAATTATCTGCACTGCCGCATCATAATGGCTTGGGCATCTGAATTCTGTAACTTTAAGCAGCTAGTCTTTTATACGGAAGACAAAGAGGCTGCTCTTTGACTTGATAACTCAATACAAATATGACTCAGAAGCACATGGAATGTGATTAGCATTGAACACAGTGTCCTTGGATCCAACTTTTTACCCACCACAGATGATGTCTTGAGATATATTAATTCCACTATTAAATATTGCAGCAGCTTGAGGCATAAAACAAGTATGGTAATCTGAGTCTTTTTAAGACCTGCATGCACACATACACACACACTCACGCTTGCATGCACATCTGTGCACACACACACCTATTTCTGGAATGCTTTTAGTATACAGTAAATCAATAAATAGAGTAAAAAAATGCCTGTCTGTGAATATAGGCATGTGCATAACTTTTAAAAGTTGCTGTCAGGTGGTGGATGGAGAATGAAATGGTAATGTCGCTGCAGGGGAAGTTTTCTCTTCCTTTCTCTCATAGCACTTTTCACATTTTTAAACATTTTAATACTGAGTTATTTTTATGCTTTTCCTGATTTTCTGTTTCCCTACTCTCCTTCCTGTAGGTTATTGGCATCTTGAAAGTAAATATCTGTTTTGCTCATTGTCATGAACACTCAGAACTCCTGAACTGGTGGCAGGCATAGAGTAGGTTCTCCGAATTGCTGACTGAATAAACAGAAAGGTAAAATGAAGCCCCCAAACCACTTAAGTCCCTGCATCCTTAACTGACACTGTGGTGTGTAGTTCTGAGCATCCATCGACACTGAGACCCCATGCTAGACAAGTACTCTCCCACTAAGTTATACCTCCAACTACCACATTGTTTATTTCTAAGAGAATTCTTATTGGATGCCTTTTACATGAAATTATTTCTGATTTTTATCTTCTAATTTTGGAAAATAATGTGTATTTAAGATACAGTGAAATGCAGAACATTATGTATTATACTTTGATGGATTTAGACTGTAAACAGGAGTATAGTCACACTCTTATGGAATAAGTGATGATTCACAGCTGAATTCTACAAGTCCATTAGGGAAGTTACAACACCAATATTCCTCAAATTCTAATGAAATTCAAAGAGGAGTACTTCTAAACTTGTTCCTGGAAATGAACATCACTCTGATTCTAAAACCAGATAAGTCCCAACCAAAAAAGAAAACTACAGGCCAGTCTCTCTAATGATCAGAAATACAAAATTCTCTGTAGAATATTGGCAAATACAATGCAGCAAATCATCAAAATGCTCATACGTCATGACCAAGTAGGTTTCACTGTACGGACACAGGGATGGTTTGATATATACAAATCAATAAATGTAATACATCACATAGCAGCAAGGACAAAAATCCCATGATCATTAATAAATGCAGAAAAAGCCTTTAACAAAATCCAACTTCTTTTCTTGATTAAAAATCCAAAAGGAAATAGTTATAGGACTTTACTTCAATCTAATAAAAGCCATTTATGGCAAACCTATGGCCAACATCATATTAAATGGGGAAAACCTGAAAGCTTTCCCTCTAAAATCAGGAAAAAGAGAGGAATGTCCACTATCACCACTGCTGTTCAATATACTTCTCAAAACATCAGTCAGAATAATTAGGCAAGTGAAAGAAATAAAAGGGCTATGGAAAAAGAAGGAAGATATCAAACTATCATAACTTGCAGATGACATGATCCTTTACATGGAAGATCCAAAAATCTTCACAAAAGGGCACTAGAATTAATAATTAAATTAAGCAATGTAGCAGGATATAAAGTTAACACACACAAAAAAATATAATGTTCCTATTCACCAATAATGAACCAAGAAAGGAATTTGAACACAGTACCACTTACAATGGCATCAAGGATAATTAAATACTTAGGAATTAACTTACTCAAGGAAGTGAAAGACCTCTGCAATGAAAACTATAGGACTCTAAAAATGTAGATCAAAGAGGACATCAGAAAATGGAATGATATCCCCTACTCCTGGATAGGCAGAATCAATATTGTGGAAATGACCATATTCCCAAAACTGATATACAGATTTAATGCAATCTCAAGAAAAATACTAACAGCATTCCTCACAGAACTAGAGAAAACAATTCTAAAATTCAGTGCAACCAGAAGAGACCCAGAATAGCTCTCCTAGGTTAGCAATGCAAGGAGCATAATGATCCCAGACATCAAGTGATATTACAAAGTCACAGTGAGAAAAACAGCACATGCACAAAGGCAGACATGTGGATCAGTGTAAAACAAGAGAGGACACAGAAATATCTCTAGACATGTTCAGTCATCTGATCTTTGACAAGTGGGCCAGAAACATATGGTGTAGGAAAAATAGCCTCTTTAGCAAATAGTGCTGGGGAATTTGGCTATACACATGCAGAGGATTAAAGTTAGACACATTTCTCACCATGTACTAAACTAAAAGCCAAGCAGATCAAACATCTACATATTAAAACAGAAATACTTAAACACCTGGAAGCTAAAGTAGGCAAAGTTCTAGAGGTCATAGAATTCAGCAAAGGCTATCTGAGCAGAATCTCAACTGCATAAGAAATAATATCAAAAATAAACAAATGAGATTATGTCCAATTGAAAAGCTTCTGCACAGTAAGAGAAAGCACCAGTATTGTGATGAGACAGCCTACAAAATGGGAAAAGTGTTTTGCCAGCTATGCTTTGGACAGAGGACTAATATCTGGACTATATAAAGAACTAAAAATGTTAGACCACCCAAAATGAAAGACTCAGTCCAAAGAGAGAGAACTGAAATATAGACACTTCACAGAAGAAGAAATGCCGATGACCCACAAACATGGAAAAATGTTCAGCATCACTGGCCATTAAGAAATGCAAATTAGAATGACATTGAGATTCCATCTTCCAAAAA